TTTTTTTTTGGATAACTTGTTTTAACAATTTTACCTATCAATTAAGATGTCATTTGAGTTAAAATTACTGTTTGAACGTTGACTGACGATTTTATGGACGGAATGTGTGAAATGGACCAACGCTATAATTATATATAAAAGTTTGGGACTTCGGTCGCAAAAATTAAAGGTATGAGTGTAATTTGCAACAAAATGAAAGGTTTGGGACCAGTGTTGCAATTTATTTGAGTCAAAATTATTGTTGAAACGTTGACTGACGGTTTTATGGACGGAATTAAAGGCTTAGGACCGACGCTGCAACTACATATAAAGGTTTGGGACTTCGGTCGCAAAAATAAAAAGTTTTGGTGTAATCTGCAACAAAATGAAAGGTTTGGAACCGCGGCCGCAATTTTCCCTTAATTAAATGTTAAGAATAACAATGTGATGAGAAAAAAGTCAAGGACATAAAAGCAAAAGTGATAAATTGCAGATATAAAAAAATGTTATGTGAATATAATTACCCTTATTTGAATGGTTTGGGAACCCGATCAACACAATAATTTTATCCAAGTGTTGAAATATATAATGGCTAAAATTGCAAGAAATGGCCTAAGATCTCCATAAACATTTGACAGTTTGAATTAATAAATATCCAAAACATCATTCCACAGTCAAACTCAAATGTAAACAAACACAGAATTGATTGCAAATACAATATTGATCAAATTACACACGATGCTGATCATGAACTACCCTTTTTTTTGTAATATGGTAGAATGGTGTAAACAGTTTGCAGTACTGTTACAATCAAGGCAATACTAGCAATTTGCCAGTATTTTCTCCAAAGTGGTGGTGAGTAGTCACTAATTTGAAGTTTTACATGGCGAAGGTTTTGATTATAGCTTTCCTCGGGAGCTAGTCTTCTTAAGATTCCTGGCAGCTTTAATTTGTGTTTAAGATAATCCCCTTGAATGATTCCATTGGAGTCAAAGAGTTTGGCATCATCAGGCGTACGTATCAGCTCGCTCATAAACAACAAATAGGCGCTAACCTCCTGTTTTCTTTTGTCAAGTTTTTGACTGATCTCATAGTGTGTGAGATTTTGAAATATCAACTCTGTGTCATCTCCTACCAAGAAAGGAGGCAAGTAAAGAATCGGATATGCCTTGCAACTCCACACACTCTTTGTGAAATAGATTCCTCTGCTTCCATTCCCGCAACTTAGAGGCCTAAAATGTATACCCGCTTTTCTCAATTCTGTGGCTGACGAAGATATTTTATCATCAATATTGGCAGCATCCTGTAAATTACTTAGCTCGTGCTGACCTTCCAAATCCTTCTCTTCTTCTTCTTCCTCCTCTTCTCCTTCACATTTTGGCCCGAGTATCAGCAACTGCAGGCCATGGAGCAAATCAGAAGGCTGCTGCTTTTGGAGCCAATTAGCTCTTGCAAATACCTTCTTAGAAAACCTTTGCGGTAATGTTCTAGGGGGGTGAGTTTCTCGTGCAGGCAATAATAACAATTCATACAAAGCTATCCTACACAGATCTGATGGTAGCTCCCATTCCCCCTTTCCTATGACATTCCTGAAGTAGCTTTGCTTCATTAATTCCTTGAGCACTATGAGTGGAATTTGGTTTCCAACGAAGAAAATGGCCTCAATCCATTTTTCAATATCATTGTACTTGTTATTTTTCTCTGGACCGAATATGCTACGGCCAGGAGGATAGCCTAGTTGTTGGGCACCCCCAAGAACATACAACACGAGTTGCAGGAATAAACAACCATCTTTAATCATCATCCATCGAAACTCAGGTCCCGACAAAAGATCCACCAATCGATCTTCATAAGTAGCTCTTGCCTCTTTTTCTATCTTTCTCATTTCTGACAAGTGAATTTCAATGGTCACCGCTGCCCTGTCAGGGGAGTTTTTCAGCAAATGCCGCCAAGCCTCATCCTTAAGACTCGAGTCCGAGGACTCCTCGTTGCAGTAAAGTGGACCAAATCTCAAGTGAGATTTTTCTAGTTTTGGGATCTCTTTGCCACTAGTTCCTCTTAACTTGCATATCCTGTGGCGTGGCCTTTTTGTGTCAATCAGAGGGGTTGCATCAGTCTCCCTAGGTTCGTTCTCCATACCAGATCCATGAATTTTAGCCCCAAACTTCAACCCCATCTGATGAGTGTAATCTTCCCATTTCGTAATAGATGACGGTTCCATCGTGCTTTTATGCCAATGAAGAGCCTTTCCCTCCATATGAATTGATGCCAATTTAACTTTTACATCATCCAGGATTTTATACAAATCAAAGAATTTATTGCATTTGTAAATCCACTCGTCAAAACCGTCGCCAGAAAACTTGGGGAATTCAATTGTAGGCAATCCTGTAGTGCAATAACCAGATGGGTTATTTCTTTGAATTGACTCTTCAATCTTTGTACTTATTAGAGAAATAACGTGATTGCTGAAGTCTTCTATTGATTTGTTTTGACTATAAAGGAACTCTTCCATTGTCTTCTCATGTTTTTCTGAAACTTCCTTGAGAGACTTCACTGTTTCCTCAAGCCCTTTGATCTCTTGTAGATGCATGCCTTCCTCCATGGAGGATGACGACAAAGGTCAAAGAAGAAATAGAGACTGAAGAGACTTCAGATGAAGATGTCTTGGGCAATATTTACCGTCTTCCTATTTATGCGATTGCCATTCAGGCCTTTGTTATTATTTAAAGTTGCCCATTAATTTGTTTAATTTTTCTAATTCTAAATTATTGCTAGCCTTTCTCACTTTTAAAAATACTTTTCATTATCCCCCAAACCTTTTCATCCTTCTCTCTCTCATACATAATCAAAACAATTGTGCTATATGTACATTACAACTCGCATATTGGTTTACATACACATGATGTGTTGAGAATATGATTGGATCAAAATTTCTTTTTTGTAAGCCTTTTATGTTTTGACTTTTATTGTCCTCACATATCCTTAGACTTCGTCAAAAAGGGACATAAGCTCGCAAGCTCATTTTATTATTTCAACAATGATGCCAATGTCAAAAGTTTGAGATGGATATATGTGAGAGACTAGCACCAAGGTGGAACTGTTGTTGTGATTGACAGACATCGAGGTGGTAGTGTAATGATCCGAGTCATATAGGTATGTAGTCGTAGTTATCAAATCACACAACAGATGGTATTTGTTTTCAAGAATTGTGAAATAGCGAAGATAGTTATGTTGGTGACATCAAGACCATAGAAGATCAAAGTTCAAAGATGTCAAATCATATAGTAACGTTTAATAAATTTTGAACTTGGTTCATGTTTTCGACTATTGATCAAGGAAAGGTAATACTTACCGGTAAAGAGGTGTGAAAATGTATGTCAAGGGTTGTTGTGATTTGGAGAGTTTGAGTTAAGGTCAAAATTGTTGAGATTGACCCAAAATAGATAAATTAAATTAAGAGATGAAGATGGTAATTTCTAGAAGAATTTTATTGGAGGAGGAAACCTTATAAAATCAAGTCACTCGGTTGTAAGAACAAAATAAGTAAAATAATTTATATTGTAATTAGGAAAGGGTACCTCTATTTCCATCCACACTTTTTATATATACATCCGCTTTTAAAAATTAAATTTTATTATATTTTAAGTCCTATGTAAATTTACTTAAATAGACACAAACAACATTAAATAAAAATACATAACTCTAAATTGATCCACTAGTTTTTTTTTTGCATCAGAGTAACCTAAATCTTTTTATATTCTATTAGAGATTATGTTTAACTAGAGTCCTAATAGATCAAAGAAATTTACATGAATATAATTATAGGCGATGGTGGCAAAGCAAGTTTGATCGATGAAACTGCGGAAGAAAGGCCCAAAAGATGAAAAGAACACTTACGGGATGGAAAAACAACGGGGAAGATGAAAAGGGCNGTGGATGGAAATAGCGGTACCCATAGGAAAAAGAATTAGAGTCAGCGACTAAAAAGGAAACTTACCAAATATTAGAGGCTAAGTTATAAATACAAGGCATTGCATTGAGCATTGCATTGAGCAATTCGGAACACGGACAGAAAAAGATAAGAGATGTTTCCACGTAATTATAGTAAAAATCTGGTTCTTATCCATACCAAGCAGGGGCATAGTGTTTGTTGAATAACGCTATTGTACATAATGAGTTACAGAAAATTTATAAATAGATGAGGTGTCAAGAAGAGAATGAAGAATTTTGTTTTATTTCGTTAAGTAAATTCTAATCTAATTATATCTCATCATATCATATGTATATGAAACAATCTGCTAGTAGTGATGTACATATAGCATAACCAGTGTTTGGAATGTAGTGCGGCGGAAGTGATAAAAATAAATATAAACGAACACACTATCGAAATTTCGTTGATTCCAAACGAATATCAGAATACGATTAACTTCTTTCTGTTCATTCTTAAGAATTCTTGAAATTTAGGCATTAAAAAACTCTTTGATTCACACACGAATACAGAGAATTTGGACTTGTTGATTTTTAATTATCAAATATGAGAATTCACGAAAATTGAAAAAAAATCTCAACAATAAATTTTTTAATTCAAATTCGATTCAATTTACTGACATAAGACTTACAATTCATATTTAAAGTAGTAATTACAATCTGAATAAAAATGAAACTCCTATATAACAACTAACTCTTGATAATAATAAAATTAAAGATAACGACTAGCTCTAAATGAGATTAAAATCCCAATATAATTAAAATTATGAAAACTAAGAGTTATAATACTAATTTTTTCCATTGTGCATTTATTGGGATTTTTTTACCCCAAATATACATTTGATAGCATAACTCTAGGTCGCATGAAAATGGAAATGGACATAACACGACATGCGTTTTGGAATAGGTAGGACAAGAAATGCTATGGAAACGTAACAAAAACTTGTTAATTAATTTACCATCATCAATCCAATATAATGAAAATTAATATATAATGACTCATTTTAAAATTTCTAGTTAATTGCCTAGCTAGCTTGCTCCTAAAAATGTAACTGTCCCCTTCGGAATAATGCGACTTTGCAATAGTTGAAGCATTATGTCTTCAGCACTAAATTAAACACACAAGCAAGCGGGCAGGGCAAAGACAGGGATGGACCTCTAGGGAATATAGAGGAGCTTCGAACCAGTTCAACTCGTAAGTTCTAACATCAACAGACACAATTATAGTTGATATTTTGGTTGAAGTTAAATGGACAAGTATTTACTAAAAGCATAAATAGCAAGAGCTGATTGTTCCATCTCAATAATCAAGTCAAAGTCAAACTGTTTAAAACACGGTTAATTTTTTCATCTAATCACATCTTGTCAACACCCATTACGTTAAGGCAATCGTCAACATTTTCCTGGCAAAGTAGCATTATTCTTTTTTATTTGGTTGAAAGAATTGATACAATCATATTTCACCATATCATATATGTGTAAACCAATTTATAAGTAATGATGTACATATAGTACAACTGTAACAACTAAGCCCTTGTTTGGTAGATAGATTATAATCGAAGTCGAAATCAATAATTAATTTTAATCATAAATTTCGTGGATTCACTAATTTTAGTCTTCATCAAACATGAACTAAATATTATTTATAAAATTAGTCGGTGACGTATGCGTTTTTTATTCAGTGATATTCTCTCCGACGTCCACTTGTACGTGTACATGGCTTATTAAAATTGAAAATTATAAATAATAATTTAATTTCTTCTCTTATCACAATTAGATATTGTGGAAGTAATGCTGTCAATTTTGACAAATTAATCAAATGTTACTTCATTTCGAGACAATATCTCCCGAGAGTTATGACAATATCAGGCACATCTCCTCAAGTTTAAAAAATAATACTAACCTTCAATATTTTTAGTTTTTAGTATAATATTCACATTTGACCACCTTTGGAGTCGTGTCTCATCTAAATGAGGTTGATATACCTAAAATACTCTTGTGAAGTATTACTTGCAATTTAATTTTTTCACTTTAATAACAAGTTAATACCATACACAATTTTTTGAATAAGCTACTAGTAGAAAAAGATTTGTCGATGTTCGGTGTTAGGCATTAACAAATTGTAAGATAATAATTTTAAATACTATGTATTTGTTATCGGTTGAAGTACATGAGAGCCTTAGACATCATGATGTCTATCAAGATTCAAGAACAAAATTGAACGTAGGAGAATGTTACTTGTCAGCCACAATTCGTGGTGACATGGATTAATGAAGTTATAGATTTCGTCAAAAAAGAAAAGTGAATGCAATTAGTTCGGAACTACTTATAGACCAGATTGGTTAACATTTTCTTTCTTGTGATAGGTGCACATTGATTTGTTACAGTTTCTCTGAGTTGGGATGCATGCATGCGAGTGCGATGCAATGATGAGGAATGTAACTTGACACTATCGAGAAATATCTGACCAAAATTTCAGAATCTTTTGCTGTGAGAAAGAAAATGGTTGAAACATTGATCGATGTGCATGGAAAGAACAAAAGAGCGGTTTTGTTACGAGAATTTCGAAAATATTTAGTTCCTGATATAGAGATAAGAATTAAGGATGTACAAACGAAGCTAAATATGTGGCTCAGTCAATTAAAAGATCTAGATGCGAGAAAAAGTAAGGCGTCAAGCGAACATAACCTGGAAAGAGAGATCAGAGACCTTGTTTATAGACTTCAGAATGTCCTTGAAACTTATTTCAACGCGGTACAACCCAGAAGAGACAGAAGCATAATTAGAAAATTCATTGATGATTTCAAATCCTTCCGGATGGTTGATTTAGAGATTAAGGAAATCAATATGCAGATAATGTTAACCATTACAAATTTATATATATCTAAGACAACAGAAGAAATGAATCCAGAAACTGAGACCCGAAAAAAGTTGAGGAAAAGCATCTCCGACGATCGAGAAAACCATATTGTTGGGATGGATCACAGACTTGAAGATCTAAAATCTGTTCTGCTTGATGGCAAAGACGGAGTTATTTGCATATGCGGCATTGGTGGCATAGGTAAGACCGCACTTGCCCATAAGTTATATGTTGATCCCTTTGTTCGGTCCCACTTTTACATTTGTTCTGCGGTAGAAATTGGCCAGAAATTTGAAGTAAGAAATGTTCTTGAAAGTATTTTAGAACAACTTCCCGAAGGGAAAGAGAGAATAAAGCAGCCAGATAATCAACAGGGTAGCAAACTAATGTTGACAACTCGGTTATACGAAGTAGCTTTTCGTGTGAGTGTGGATGGACATGTTCATCTGATGTGGACTTTAAGCAGATCTAACTCTTTGAAGTTATTTCAGAAGTTCTTGGGGGACCACCTTGACGGTAAGTTTCTCTTCCACAATATTCATCCAAATCTGAGTTCCGTTATGTTCACCATCTTCCGCAACTACTTTGTTCCATTTTTTGTTGGACCAGGGTTATCTTCCTTATCCTCCATTCTAGGCTTTTCTTGATAATTTTTTTTATCTTGTGTGAAACCTTCACATCTTTAATAGAGTTAATGTTAATCGACATCTGCATCATGAATAAAATGATTAGTGATAGATGACATACGACTAGTCATTGTATATTAGAGAGCATGCATTAATCTATAATACTTCATATCATATATCCACTGAGTTTAAGAAGTGCACTCTTTTTTTATTAATCACACAAAGTTAAAGGTTGTCTGAATTGGTTTATGTAACGAACAAGACCACCACAAACTCAGAAACTCTATGCAGGAATGAACTATATAATTGGGATAAGAAAATAAGGAAATTCAACCTATATAAATGGAACGGGGGAGTACAATTTTTTAATAATGAAATGCATTTTCTGTCTCTCTCTCTCTCTCTCTCTCTTTTTGTTGGTGTTAAACTCGACGAAGCCTCGTTATAGTAGTGAAATGCAAATTCTCTGATATTGGAATTAATTTCCACATCTATACAAAAAATTAGTAATAAATTGAGAAATTTAGTTTACCCTTATTTAACCAACAAAAAATTTAGTTTACCCTTATTTAATTATCAACAATTAGTAATAAATTGAGAAAATTTTTTTATAATTAGAAAAATTAAATAAATGTATATTAGTAAATGAACAAAATAAAATCTTCTCAATAAATAAATAGGACTATATAATTGAGACAAAAAAATAAGGAAATTCAACATATATAAATGGAATGGGGGAGTACAATTTTTTAATAATGAAATGCATTTTCTTTCTCTCTCTCTCTCTCTCTGTTTTTTTTTTTTTTTTTT